TTGGAGACGTTTTCTCCCCCTTACTTAGTGGTCTGCCGAAAGGCACTGGTAGCGATGCTAACACTTGTCGCAGTTGAACGCACTGGCCCAGAACAGACTGAATCACTGGTAATCTGTCGCTATGTGCAAGTCCGTCAGCGAGGAGCAGTGTATGAGTCTATTCCATAACCCAGTAGCCTATTATCTTGCAAATCTTCCTGAGGACAAGTTGTTCCAGAAGTTCAGGGCTCTTCCTTTTGGTCATGTGTATTCTGAAAGAAGTGCACTCCTTATGCAACTGTTAGAAAATTACACCCTCAACATATCTTTAATAAAAATATATCCCAACATCGGTGTAGTACTTATTAACACACTTTCTTTCTTTTAAAGAAATTCCGAGGAATTATTTTTTCTACCTGATGGATGTTAGTAAAGTCAGACTCGTTCAACCAGTTCAAATGCATTCACCTCTGTAGTAAGGACGAAGTTGGCACCTCTGCAATATCATTGTTTAAAAAATATTTCAGGAACAATTACGTATGTTCTGTTAAAGCTGAAACTGAAAACGTTGAATAGCAGGTGGCACCTTTACCGACTGAACACCACTAGCGTTTTATTATTTATGGAGAAAAATATGATGGCAGAACGTATACGTTGCCAACTTTTGCATTGAATTGTGATCTGTATGTTGGTAATCTGTATTGCTGATCAATCAGTCAGTCAATCAGTCAGTCACCCGAAGGCAACTGGAACGTTCTGTGGAGTCAGCTGTAAGTCAATATATTGTATTAAATATTATTGATACGAAGAGTTAGGGAAATTATTTTCTTTAATTAACATTTTAAACTTACAGTAAAAGCAACGACCTGAATATGGAGAGGAGGTAGAATGATATTGTTAGTTTAAAACCGAAGGACTCGGATGAAAACATGTCATAGTGCCAGTTTGTCTACCACAGATCCAAAATAGGTTGCATTGGGCCCACTTTACGAGTTATGTCGAATGAACGGACACTTTCGTACGTTACAAGGAATCTGCGTGGATACCACATCTCATACTACCATTCGTTACTAACATGAGAAAATAAATTCAACTGTGGTGTAGTTGAATTGGAAACAATATTTAGGTCACTTTAGATTTATTTTACAGAAATTTTTAAAAATTGACGTCAATTTTAATAAATTGTTTCGGAATATATGTAATTTACTAACAATCATGAGTTGATATAATTGCGTCATATTGTGAATTAAAATTTAATTATTCGTGTTTTTTCCGTCTAATCACAATTGTATATAAATAAAATTATACATAAGATATTAAAATATTAAAATATCATATGTAAATGGTATTTTAATATCTTATGTATAATTTTATTTATATACAATTCTGATTAGACGGAAAAAACACAAATAATTAAATATCAATCATGAATAGAATGTGTATCAAGTCAGGATAAATAAATGAGATAGAAGAATAGCTGTAAAAAACCATCTTGGGCTTTAAATAGACGTTGCTTTGGAAGACATTTGCCCTCGTAATTATTAGTTAACGTACAAACTGTGCAGATTCTCCATTACCTGTGTTGCCACTGTATAGAGATGGTATTGAACAGTGCTCAAACATTGGGTCGACAAGATGTTATGTTTATAGCGATAACATGAATAAAAATAAACATTATATTTACCATGCGTATTGGAATTAAGTTAGTCTTTGAGAGAAGTGTGTTAAATATACAATCTGTTTTCGACCAAAGTTTGTGGAAAATAATCTGCCCATTCTAAGAAAATGTTTAAAAATGTTGGCTTAAAGTAAAATAGGTCTTTAGTGCGATTAAATGTTTTCTCGCTGTAGTCTCTTAAGAAATGCATAAAACTGTGGAAATTTATATAAAACTAGACGATTGGTGGTGGTTAATAAAAATGATTAATACTTAAGCAAAACATCTTTATTTTTATTTAATCTTGAATATTTTTCAGTATAAACTAAAAGTGACCCGATTAAAGAATATTTAGTAGGATTTGAGGTTTTCACGGCCGTAATTACGAAAATTCCTTTCTTCTGTGTTGTAACGCTATGTAGTCTGGGAGAAATTTACCAGCGTTTCAGAGGTCCTTGCTGCCTCCATCATCAGGACGATGAGCCACTCATCGCTCAGAAGCCAGCCGTTTAAGAAAATATTTTTTTCACATCAATAAATATGTCTTAGGCTTATGTATAATAAAATAACAATATATATTCACTGTTACGGTTATTAGTTCTGCATGTATTTGTAGGACCATTTGCACCACATGTAAGATTGATTATCCAATACAAATTAATTTCGCAGCGAAGTGACTTTCTGTGAGTGCAAATTACTTAAATAATTTTTTCCGCTCACCTAAAAGTATATTTTATCCTGAAGGAAGGATATTGCAACTTCAACTGCAGAGACATTCAAGTTAAGTTGCCGTACAGGATTAAAATAAAATTAACCAATAATGACAGAAATTACGTTTTAAATGTTATGCCTTTATATAAATATGAAATAGATGTATATTTATATCAAGTGAGATAATATTTAATATGCTTAATTTTTCTTAGAAGCTGTGTAAAATCATATTTTACGTATCTGTGTGATACAGCCATGTCAATCACCAGAGCTGTGTCTACGGTGACGCAATTTCATGTGCTGTGTGCTTTGGTTAGTATTGCCTTACAGCCGCAGACAACCTATTAAACGGTGGTACACACACATACTTTAATAACATGTGCATCATGTAATTTATGGATTATTTTATAGGAAATGAACTTGTTTCAGAAAACACAATGAACAATAAGAGGATCCCTGAACTTCTCACGGAATTGTCTCAGCGGAAGATCTGCGGTATAATAATCCTCCGGGGTTTGTCATGGACAAAGAAACTGCGTTGCTGTGAAGGACTTCATATGAGAGACAGATTGATTGTGTTTCAGTCCGTGATGAGGAAGTGTTTTCAGCTGCGGGATTTGCTGACATCAATGCCGGATGTAGTGTTCGGGATGCTTATCGAGAACACCTTCAAAGCCATTATCGTCATTATCGCTACCTACCATATCCCACTTCACTGCAGACTTGTTAACGTGACTTTTCGACGCCAGTACGAAGAAGTTTGTCTCTATATGCTCAGATGTGTATATCTGCCTTACATAAAGGAGTGTAACTTCAGAGAAATCCGGTCCGAATTCATACAGCAATTACTGTCAAAATCGCTTCAAAGAAATCCAGATATTACTCGTCTCATTCTTTCGCCGCAATCAAGTCTTGAAGTCACGGAGAATGTCGTCAGTAACCTTAACAGACTAAGACTGCTTCAAGAATTCAAATTTGAATTTCGTTGCTCTAACGATATAGTGATCGAATTAGTTAAACATTGCACATTACTTAAGATACTTAATGTCCAATCTTCTGTGTTAGTTACCAATCATTGTTTCAAATATTTAATAAATCTGAAGAATTTGGAGAAACTCTATGTTGGAGGAACTGCGATGTCCGATATTTGTTATGCAATGGTCCTTTCAAATTTGCCACGAATTGAGAATTTTTCTTGGCGTGGTTGTGTTGAGTCTGTGTTAAAACACAGTAAAAAAGATTGTTTTCCTTCAGTACGTGAATTTAATGGTAAAGTTAAAGATGCATCCTTATTAGCACAAAAGTGTCCACGTATCAAACAATTGTCGATCAATTTAGATACTGTAAATTTGTCCGATCTGGCACTACTGACTGATGTAGTTACGTTGGAATTAGAGCACTGTGATTTTAACATTAACAATGTGACTATCTTATTGGAAAGTATGGGTACTAGACTTACAAAATTAGATTTTTTTGGGGTCGAAAATATCGATTTTAGACAAATAGTTCGTTGCTGTTCTGTATTAAGGATACTCTCCTTTAGATACTGCCGAGTAGTACTGTCAAGATTCTTATTCTTTAATCGGGAATTGCCACATTTTAAAAGCGTCAAGGAAATAACACTCAACAGCAACCCAGATTTCAAACATTTCCACTTATACCTGAATCATTATGTAAATTTGGAAAATTTTCATGCTCAGTGGGTTGCAGATTTAGATGATGTGACTTTTGCTAATATTTTAAATACCGGTGGTTTTAGAAAACTCTCTGAAATTATTATCCATGATTGTGGAATCCTTACTTTACGGACGGCTATGTTGTTGATAGAGAAGTGTGACAATTTGTGTGTTCTGGGGAATCTAAATGGTTGGCCTGATATGAAGTTAATTGATAAGACAACACTCTTTGATTATGTAAGGAGAAATAACCTTGCACTAAAGGTAAAGTTATTATAATTTGACGTTAAATTTAAAGTCTTGATAACAGAAATTATATTTTTTAGTGAAGGGTTCCCTCGTTTATATCTACAAATTAATATTTTAATGTTTTTACAATTATTATAATATGAAGCGTATACTCAGAAACTAGTTTTACTTAACAATTAAATGAAGAATTATGTATGTGGTGTAATATTAAATAAATTTTACGTAGAATTTTAATTAACTTTCTGTTTACTTTTATAATTTCCGATCCAGTGGTGAAATCCTCTGAAGATATCAACGAATAGTGTGGTTTGAAAAAAATATAGTTTATTATTTAATTAAACTGGCGGCCACCAGCTCTGCAGCAAGTAATTTGTAAATGTTTGCAGGCGACGGTACAAGCCAAACTACATGGAAAGAATACGGGACCGCGTAATTAAACAGTAGTTTATTGTAGTCAAGAAAACAATTCCCTCCCAAGAATCGGAAGTATCATTGCTATTTATAACTAACTAACTAGGTGGCTGAGGTGTATGTATGAAAGTTGTGACTAATAACAATCTACTACTACAATATAGCGAAATTACTCCCGTGATATGTAACCAATTGTGAACGAGACGTAATTAGACGTGTCATTATGTGAAGATTTATGAGAAGACTTTAGGATATTTTGTTACATTTGTGTTATTGGAATTTAATTTCGAGGTAAATGTACTTCGGATATGTTGGTAATGGCAGGTAATGTTATACGTCATTCACAGTGTCTGTCTGTTGCTTAGCAGATGGGACGTTGCTGTTCTCTGTCCTGGTAAGTCGTTTGGACGTGAGTTTTTCGTACAAAATAAATAATTTTTAAATCTGCTAATAGTAAAGTACGTATGTATAGTACAGTGTGTAGTCACTCATTTTAAATGCGATGAGATTTAATTGGAAATAATATTTGGGCACCATTGAGAATCATATAGCGTTAAGTAACCACGGAAATACATTAAGTTTCATAAATTGTTACCGAATATACACGATTTCATAGTCATCAGTCAAGAGAAGTAAATTATTTAGAAAGATAGGTAAAATAAACTCGCTTGGGCTTAAGTAGACATTCCTTTGAAGCACAATTGACTTCATGGTAATTTGTTACATACTAACTGTACACATAACCCCACTTTTAGAGGACCTTGCTAAAACAGAATGAGGCTAAATCCATAAATTGTGTTAAGTAAACTGCATAATTATGTACAAAGAAGCCTTTGGACTGTCACAGTTTATATGAAATAAAAAAGTGTACTAAATGCCATTTAATATTATCTTTTATTAATCTATGAAATTAAAAGAATCATTCTATAATTTGCCCTCTAAGAACTTTTAAGTGGCTTTTGGTACCTGACGCATAGAATATTAAACGAAGTATTCTTTGTCTTTGCCTGTTAGCTTTAATCATGTTATAGTACTTTAGTACATATTAGTGACTCGAATGAAATAATTTATTCAAATTAATAATAAATACATTTAGGCATATGTTTAATCGACAAATTTAACTAAATATGTGTCTGATGAAATAAGGAAGTTTGTTCACATTAAACACTCCTTAGGTTGCGTAGTCATTTACAGATCTACATTCAACACGTGTGTTTATTACATATTTAAATGTATGTGTGAGCAAATTTCTTAAATAATGTTAAGTTTCAAGCGCTTTCGAAACTGTCTCTCTACTTAGGTGCTAACTACATGCATCCATTGATCAGCGCATCACACATACCTGCCCAACCATCAGTCTCTCACCATTCTAAATAAAAACTTCGAAAACTACATTTATCATGAAGTTTGCATGAAGGATTTTGAGACACTGAGATAGGGTAACATATACAATTGAAATAGATACCTGATAACAGGATATTTTTTAAAAGTTTATTCCGTTTTATATGCAATAAATAGGTATTTATTTTAAGTAAATTATGGATACTTTCTTCCAGTACCTCATGAGCTGGATTGTTCCCACGGACTATGTGGAATTAGATATTACTGATCAATATGGTTTATCTGTGTGACACAACAAGGCTGTGTGTCAACGGTGGCGCACTTCTCATCTATTCTGTGTGCACTGATTACTATTATCTTACATCTTCGGCCAACTTGCTAAATAGTGGAGCACACAAATTGCACTTAAGTAAATAATGTTCATCGTATAATTTCTGTTCTATAGGGCATGAACTAGCTCCAACAACCATAATGAGTAAGAAGAGAAACCCTGTGTGTCTGAAGGAATTAATTCAACACGAGATCTGCACCATGATAAACCGCCCATTTGTGACATGGATTTATAAACTGTACTCTTCTGAAGAACTTGGGTGGAGACAGAGACTGCCTGTGTTTCAGCTCGTGCTTAAACAGTGCGTTGAATTGAAAGAATATCTGATGTCGCTGCCGGAGTCAGCCTGCAAGCTTCTGATGGAAAAGATCTTCAAAACTGTCTCCGCTATTATCGCATCGTACCACTTAGCACTTTGCTCCCGACTTGGAGCCTTGGCTTGCAGACTTCAGTATGAAGAAGTCTGTCTCTACATGCTCAGAGTCGTCTTCCTTCCATGCATAAAAGAGTGTAACATCAGGGATATCCAAAATGTATTCGTACAGGAGTTAGTGTCGCAGTCGCTTCATACGAATCCAAATATCACTCGTCTGATTCTTCCACATATTCCAACTACTAAAGTCGTAAGGTCTGTTTTCAGTAGTTTTGAAAGTCTGGCAGTGTTGCAAGAATTCTCTTTTGAATTTAGTTGTACTGCAGATATAGTTATAGAGTTGGGAAAACATTGCAAATTACTCAAGGTACTTGACATCACCGGTTCTAAACTTGTTAATGATGAATGCGTCCAATATCTTCTGAATATGCGAAACTTGGAGAAACTGTATGTCTCAGAAACTAAAATTTCTGAGACGTGTTATGCTGTGCTTATTTCAAGTTTGCCACGAATTCAAAACATAACTTGGTTAGGCCCAGTTGAATGCATCTTAAAAAACATTAGAAAAAAACGCCTTCCTAAAGTAAATGAGTTTCTTGGTGTAATATCAGACGTACCCTTAGTGAGAAAATTATGCCCACATATCAAAAAATTGAGTGTCTGTTTACAGACCAAGAAGAGTTTGGATCTGATACACCTGACTGAAATAGTTTCTTTGGAATTCACGTCTAGCGATTATTATATTCACAACCTGAGGATCATAATTGAATGTATGGGCATTAGACTTACAAAATTAGACTTCGCAGCTGTCAGAAATGTTGATATTACTCACATAATTAGTTGTTGTCCCGTTTTGAAGATTCTTAACTTAGCACTCTGTGAAATTGTGATATCAGAAAATTTTACGTTCGCTCCCGAATTACAGCATTTTAAGAGTGTCCAGGAAATCACATTTGTACGTAACTCAGGTTTCGAGTATTTCCTCAAATTCCTCCACCTCTATGTTAATCTGGAATTGTTCCATGCAGAGGGCGTTAGAGAAATACAAGATATGTGTGTGTCTGCAATTCTAAAAGCCGGTGGCTTTAGAAAGCTCTCTAAAATTCTTCTTGGTTTTTGTGGACTCCTCACACTGCAGACAGCTATGATGCTGATAGAGAACTGTGACAATTTGTGTCTTATAGGGAAACTCGACACTTGGTCCGGTGTCAATGGTAATGACAGAATTATACTGCTTGATTTCGTGAGGACAAATAACCTTGCGCATGCTTTAGTCTTAAAATGATTTGACGTTGTATGTTAAGTTTATGTGCCGGAAAATTAATTTTATACTTTGAAGTATCCTCTTTTACATTTAAGAATAAATATTTTAATGCTTCACAATTTGTATAATCGTAGGAGTGCAACTTACAAAATAGTACAATTTTATAATTCAATGACCATTGTAAATGTGACATAACAGTATTTATGAGATATTTTGCAGTAAAGTTTTAATCACCTTTCTGATTTGTTCGATGTTTTCCTGGTGAAATTCTAGTGAAATAGCTTGTGAATACTTGAGATTCATAAAATGTAGATAATTTCTTAAGTATCCGAGCGTATATCAGCTTCGAAATAATTAATTTCTCTTAAGTAACTTAGCGCTGGGTAAAATTTATTCTGCAGGAGTAACATACTTATAAACCTAATGCTCTTTTGTGTATTGTAAGGATGTGTGAAATCACATCTATAGGATTTGAGACTTTCGCGGCGAGTACAATCAATAAAATCTTCTCGGTCAATCAGCCGCGTTAGCTGGTTACCGTAATAAACCGACGTTTCGGGAACAAACTCTGTCCCTATCTTCAGGGTTCTGATGTGACTGGGGACATGGGGACAGAGTTTGTTCTCGAAACGTCGGTTTAATACGGTAACCAGATAACGCGGCTGTTTTCCCGAGAAGATTTTATTGAAATCACATCTACGTACTTTCTCAGTATAAGATGGCACATTTCAATATTTGTTTTACGACGACTATGAACATTTTAACGCGCGGTGATTGAAGTTTCCTGCTTATCAATCCATACCCTCAATGAAGGCCGCCATTTAAAAGAACACTGGTTTTGCAGTATCAAGAAATGAAACATCGTGCACAGAAAAATTGCATTTGTCGATACGTATTATTCATTTTCTTTTGTTATATGAATTCCTTGTGAGGAGGAACAAGAGAATATTTCTTTCGTTATTTGATAAACCTGCGTAAACTGCTAATAATACATAGCATACAAGAAATGTAGCATTTGGCTTGTGAAATGAAAATTCTCGGGACCAAATTTACTGCAAAGATCTTGTCTTCATCTGGATACATTTACAGAAGCCTTATACGAACCTTTCAATATTACTTTCTGTTGATACCCTGGCTATACTATTATATTCAGGTCAAGTGCATTACAGAGTAAAAGGGCGAATGTACGATCATTGTCCGCACCAAAAATTTGCTGTGTTTTACACTGGCTCTCATTTCTCTAAATACGACGATCACAAACACCCGGAAATATTGCTGCATGCGTAATTGATGTTAGCGGTATAATGGTCTTGCGTACTAACAAAACTTGGGATAAGTTGATTCGTATTTTAACAACGTTGTCAAAAGCATCACAGATGTCAGTGATGATACTTGGTATCTCGTCGGCGATTTAAACCAGTTTATCTTACGAACACAAATATAATAGAGCGACAGTTGACTCAGGTTGTCTTGTTCTGTTTTAAAGTACTGGGGGACAGTTCAACTGTTCAGATGAGTGAGTGTAGAGGTCTCTGGAGCTTCTGAAGAACGTAAATAAGTGTAGAATGTATAGTTCCAAAAGGAATTAAACGTTTCCTTTTCATAACTCTTCTGTTAAAATATCCGATAGGACTACTTAAACCATCAGGGAAAAAAAAAACTTTTATTTGTTCGGAATTTTATGAGAAGCGTCGAAGACTGAAGTTCCTAATTATATAATGTTGTTTAATTGTCTTAAAATATTAAAAATGTGTTACAGTATCAGTTTCCCTGTACATCTAAGTACTGTGGTAGTAAGCCCGCAGATCCGTCAGTTGTATTTGAATAAATGAATGCTGCCGTCATTAGATTCATAAAGGGATATTTTTATATGTTCTGAATCCAGATATTTTTTGATTAATTTAACGTTAACAGCCATCCTAATTATTATTAAGTTTTACATTTATTTACGATTACTAGCCATGACCCCCATTGCAACTTACACGAAATTTGTCGTCTTATTATATATAGCAACATCGCAAAATATATAAACAAATGAAACTTGTAGTATCAATAAAATGACTCCATGCATAGTGTTCCATGTCCAATGAACTTATACGGCTATACAATAGGCCGTGGTCAATTCTGTACTTGTATTTAAACATTCATAATTCTCTTATTACAGACTTAAATCAACTTTGTCGTTAGTAATCGTATACACTAGAGAAAAGATGGAATCTAATAGGTGGTGTTATTGGAGATGACATGCTTGCCTGATACATCTTGTAACCAAGAAAATGTATTACCAATGCGGGACAAATTACTGGTGTTATCCGTAATTATACACATCGTAATATACAGACATGTGATAAGACCAGTAAAATTTGTGTAAATTTTTGTTTGTAAAATTTACTTTTCAGGTAAATATATTTCTCGTGTATTGGCAATGGTAAATGTTGTCGTCTTCTCTCATCCACATTTCATAGTGTCAGTCGGTCTCTTGTTGGATGGGACGTTGCAGCTATCTGTTTATGTAAGTTTTATATACATACAACTTTCGTACCTTCATAAATATTCTAAATCTGTTTAACTTAGTGATTAATATGAGTTTTAAGCAATTCATTTTAAATTCAATGTGGTTTAATTGGAAATAATATTTGGCCAGCCTTTAAAATCAAATTGCACTAAGTAAGCGAGGAAATTCATGAAGTTGTATAATTTGTTTCGGAATACACACAGTTTCTTAATTATTACGAAGAGGACGTGTACATGAGATGTACATGAGATTGAAGGATAGCTGAAATATACTCGTTTGGGTTTCAAATAGACGACTATTTGTCGCATACAAACTGTGTAGTCTCTTTGTTATCTGTGTTACTACTGTACAGGAATCGGGTTGAACACTGTTCGAACAATGGACAAACACTGTGGTCAGTCTCACTGCGATTCAGAAACGAACTTAAGCTACCTACACATGAAGAGAACTGAGCATTTTATGTGCCATGTGTTCAGTGCATCTGCAAACATAAAATTGATTTTAGAGACCTATATTAAACTTAGAATTAGGTTGAAGCCATAATAAGTAAACGGCACAATTTTGTGCAATGAAGCCGTTGAATCACAACAGTTTGAATAAAATAGGCTTAAATGGATTTGAATACTAAAGTAATTAGTCTACGAAAATTTAAAAGAACTTTGCCTTCTAAAAACTGCGAAACTGCTTTTGCTGGCAAATGAAGAAAAGATTTCAACGAAGAATTTTATGATTTAGCATGTCATCTTCAATCATCTTTAGTTTTGTTAATAATTAGAATAAAAGTATTTATTCGAATTAATCATAAATAAATATATGTTTTATATAGAATCAATAATTATGTCTAAACCTATGCAAAATCAAGGAAGTAGGTTTGTTAACATGAAACACTCCTTTGCTACGCAATCGTTTACAGGGCTACTAGTAACACGTGTGTCGACTATACATTAAAATTAATTTTGCGGTCAAATGGGGGAAATTACTTATACGATTAAATTTTCCGCTCTCCTTTAGTGTTGTCTCTGTACTCAGGTGCTAGTTACATGCATACATTGCGTGACACATCACACATATTTCATATTTACCTAGGAAACTCTCTCATCGTTCTCAAACTTCGACAAATTTCACGTTTCATGAAACTTGGCTGAGTATATTGAGAAAGTGTTGTTAGGACATTATGTAGAATTTTAATAGACGGCTGAGGACAGGATTAAAGTTTCGAAGATTAATGCCGTTATATGTAATAAATTAATTAATCTACACGGCAGCTTGTGAACTCTAACGCACTTTATCAATGTGTTAACCGGTTAATATTATTCTACAGCTGCAAACTACTTGCTGAGTAATTTTACAAACAAATTATACTTCAATTAATAATATTTTGTATTCTATAGGGAAGGAACTTTCTCTAACAAACATGAACAATTGGAGGAACCCTAGACATCTGAAGGAATTATGCGAAGAGAAATTCTGCAGCCTGATATACCGTCCATTTGTAATATGGACTAAAACACTGTCCGTGTCTGAAGCAGTTCAATGGAGAATCAGGCTGATCGTGTTTCAGCTCATGCTTAAACAGTGCGTTGAATTGAAAGAATATCTGATGTCGCTGCCGGAGTTAGCCTGCAAGCTTCTGATGGAAAAGATCTTCAAAACTGTCTCCGCTATTATCGCATCGTACCACTTAGCACTTTGCTCCCGACTTCGAAACTTGGATTGCAGACTTCAGTATGAAGAAGTCTGTCTCTACATGCTCAGAGTCGTCTTCCTTCCATGCATAAAAGAGTGTAACATCAGGGATATCCAAAATGTATTCGTACAGGAGTTAGTGTCGCAGTCGCTTCAAACAAATCCAAATATCACTCGTCTGATTCTTCCACATATTCCAACTACTAAAGTCGAAAATTCTGTTTTGAGTAGTTTTGAAAGTCTGGCAGTGTTGCAAGAATTCAATTCTGAATTTGGTTGCACTAATGATATAGTTATAGAGTTGGGAAAACATTGCAAATTACTCAAGGTACTTGACATCACCGGTTCTAAACTTGTTACTAATGGATGTGTCCAGTATATTCTGAATATGCAAAACTTGGAGAAACTCTATGTCTCAGAAAGTAGCATTTCTGAGACGTGTTATGCTCTGCTTATTTCAAATTTGCCACGAATTCAGAACATAACTTGGAAAGGTCCAGTTGATTTTATATTACGAAAGATTACAAAAATATCTATTCCTTCAGTAAATGAGTTTGTTGGCGCAGTATCAGATGCGTCCTTAGTGAGAAAAGTGTGTCCACATGTCAAATACTTGAGCGTTTGTATACAGACGGGAGATGCTTGGGATCTGGTGAACCTGAATAACGTAGAGTGGTTGGAATTCACGTCTTGCGATTATAACATCCAAAGCTTGGGGATCGTATTTAAATATCTGGGCAAAAGACTTGTAAAGTTAGATATGGCCGCTGTCAAAAATGTTGATATTACTCAAATTATTAGATATTGTACCGTTTTGGAGATTTTCAACGTTGGCCTTTGTGAAATTGTAATTTCGGAAATTTTTCCACTCACTACCGAATTGCGACATTTTAAGAGCGTCAAGGAAATTGCACTTGTATGCAACCAAAATGTCGTATATTTCCTCAAGATCCTTCACCTCTATGAAAATTTAGAATCTTTCTATGCAGAAGGAGTTGCAGATCTAGAACATAATACTTTATCTGAAATTATAAATGCTGGTGGCTTTAGAAAACTTTCTAAAATACGCCTTTGTTTCTGTGGACTTCTCACTTTGCAGACGGCTTTGTTGCTGATCGGGAGGTGTGGAAATCTGCTTGTAATAGGGAACTTAAGTGCTTGGTACGGAGTCAGTGTTGATGATCAGAACTACCTGTTTGATTTTGTTCTGACAAATAACCTTGCATTATCTGTAGTTTGAAAATAATTTGAAATTAATTTTAAACTGAAGAGTGTCGTATTTTACGTTTATGAGTTAATATTTTAAATGTACCGCAATTTGTATAATCGCACAAGTGTAGTTTGATACATAACGAAATATAAAAATATTTTGCAGTGAATTTTTAATTATCTCTCTAGTTTCTTCGACGTTTCCCGATAAGGTGGTGGATTTTTGTGAAGTAAGTAAAGTATACTGGGGATTTATAAAAGCAGATAATTATTTAATTAACCGAGAGACCATCAGGTTCAGAGTAAATACTCTTTCTTAAGTAATTTACTGTTGCGTAGAATTTGTGTGCCAGGAATAACATAGAAACCTGATGTTCTTTTTATTTCGCGTAAGGATTTGTAAATTCACGTCTCAGTATGATCTTAATGATAGAATCGCTACAATGTTATGACCAATGTAAGATTAATGGCGACTGAATTGAATGCAATCGAAAGGTAAATATTGGCAGCAGGAAGATTGTTTTTAGATTGGACTTTATAAATACTTCCTTTTTTATAAGGTGATTATTTTAATGTTTTCATGCAATCGCAACTAAGAATTTCCTCACCGAAACGCCCATGAAATTTATCGATTTATCGATCCATGAACTAAATATAGAAGGAAAGCTATTAGAAGAAAACACGTTTGTAGTGTCAACAAGTACAGCAATTGTAATCTGTGTGCGTCTGAAATACGATAAGTTTGGAACATGGAAATCTTCTGTTTTGAAGATTATTATGCTTATGTATCGGGCATGTTAAACGGGTTCATGTTTATGTAGGATTTGGATAGTGACGGAGTAAAACACCGGTAAATTATTTTGTGGCACAATCCTTATCAAAAACCTTCACGATAGAATATATTCTGTTCACATTCGAAATGCAAACCTTTACAATCAAGTACGGTGTGTGACGCAGTCCAGACAGAATCCTGACGTACGTACTTCGCCAAGCATTGCAGCCATGGACACGTTTCGGTGCTTAACTAATGGAAGCTGGTGTTATAATTATCTCGTAAAGTAATGACAATTAGGATTAGAAGTTTCTTAGATTCTAAAATTCTGTTTCTCCAGCAAGCGTTATAATATTGCGTAATATTTATTACTGTTGAGTGTAAGGTTTAGAAAAGAGGTTATCGAGACCTATTTCATGAAAGTGGTCGAGAAGAACTCTGTGAAACCGTCACAAATCTCAATTAGGATAGTTGGTAACGCGGCCGAGTTTTAAACTGTGTGCCTTCCAAATATAAGTTTCCTTCGTATATTTTGAACTACTGTCCTAACAATTCAACATTTTTGATGAGTGAGTGTAGAAGTCGCTGGAGTTCATTTGATCGCCGGACTGAATTCTGACGAAATTTAAGTAAAGGTAAAATTCATCGGCTATTAAAAAAAAAAAAAATCATCGGCTAAAAAAAAAAAAACTTTTGAACTAATGTTTTCATATTGAAAGACTGTTGTTAGAATTGTGGGATAAAACTTCCTAATTATTGAAGAGAAAAATAGAAACAAATTACTTTCATCTGTGATAATTACTCAAGACTCAAGTTTCCATTTTGATATTATTGTAATTCGTATTTGTTAAGGATGTTACAGTTTTATTACAGTATTTTAGGTGTTGCACAAGTAAGCAAGCATTTAAACCGCTTACTTGGGAATGAATTGAGTGCTTCTGACGTCACACTAAATTGTCTACAGAGAAATATTTACCTCCGTTAGAAAAGAGAAGACAGACTTTTATTTCGAACCATTTCAGCAAACTTTAAAACACAACGTAATTTAGACTAGTTAGTGTAATATTAAGGTCTATACCGTTTTATAAGTTGATCTAAAAATAAATGTGATATCCGTCATATTTGTTATGACTGACGTAGACTTATACTATAATGTATACAACACTGTGTTATCAATCTTTTATATAATTTTCGTTGATCAACCTCTTAAATATGTTCCTACATTAAGGGCAATAATTTATGAAATTCCCACTGAAAATAAGTATCTGTGTTACAAGAAATTCGCGGATTACGAACTGGTTATATTTTTATTTCAAGCCGAAGTTCTAATAAAGCTACGTTTATTTAATTACTGTACATCACCGTAATGTTTGTGTTGTATTATTTATGTAGTGTTAGTTTAGAATTCATATAGTCAACACACTGTAAGTTATAAATTATAAATTAATAATTGAAAGTGTTAAATGTACTGATGTAAAATGAAGTAAGAATTGACGCGAAGTGAAGTGAACTTTTCTCAGTTCCTTTAGGTGTGTAACCAAACTATTCTATTGGTACATGCAAACTAGGACGGAGTCTAATACAAATTTTTGCCTTATGAATTTGCCTATAATTTGTTTTTCCAATAGAATAGGCTGTAATTCACATAGTTAACCTCATTACAAGTTATTTGCATTTTAATGGTGATATTTAAGTAAAAAACACGGCATTATAGGCTATTATGGGGTCATGTTACTTCTTGCGATGATGTGGTGTGCTGGATTATGTGTAATGGGTATCGTTCTCTTTAGTATTTTCATGAATCACTGTTCACGTCTGAGATTTTGTCTCCTGAAAAGTTACTTACGGGGTGATACAGTAACTCACGGCCGCTTATTTGCTTAAGCTTCGATACCAGAGAATAGTCTTATTTAAGCTGTTTGGATGGCTGAATACATTAAGACTAATAAGAATCTGCTGCCATTATGAAACGAAATTAAAAGCTACTCTATACGACACGTAAAAGTGTCTATTAGACACTTAACACTTTTGTAACCATTTTGAAATCTGTTGCTATCTTCTGAGAGAGAAAATGTTGGGTCCCAACGAAAATACTGTACATTGTATTTAGACATAATGTACAGATTTGTGGAAACATTTTATTACGATTTGGTATATTCTTATCGCTGAAATTTAATTTCGTGGTAAATATGTTTCTAATACATTGGCAATGCCAGGTGATGTCATTTGTCATACGTCGTTCACAGTGCCAGTCTGTTGCTCTCTTGCTTGTTAGATGGGCCGTTGCAGTTCTCAAACCTGGTAAGTCGTTTGGGTGTGAAGATTTTGTGAAGTGTAAAGAATTTGTAAGATTGCTATTTGTTAAAATTAAATAACACGATATGAAATCGTTCGTTCATTATACGATGTGATTGAATTGTACATAATATTCAGGCTACTTCAGAATTATGTAGGATTAAATATCCAACGAACTGCATGAAGTTTCATAAATTGTTTCGGATTAAATAATACAATTGGTAATCAAGAGAAAGGAACGTTTAGAAGATGAGAAGTAAATGAGATAGAATAATAGCTGAAATACACTCGCGTTCTCTTTAAATGGACATTGCTTTAGAGCACATCTGCCTTCGTAATTATTTCTTACATACAATCTGCGTAGCTTCTTCTATACCTGTGTTACCGCTGTGTAGGGATCGGCCAACCCTGCTATCAGCCTCGTTGTACAGCAAAACGAACATCATGTTCCATCCCCAGTTAAGGTGATGACATGAATAGAAATGAGGATTGAATCAATGAAGTGTGTTAGATGCAACTGAATTCAAGATAAATATGTTAAATATACAATCAGCCAGAGATTCGCGGAATTACTTCGGTTTTCCTAATAAATAAAATGATGTTGAACAGTGATATTTCATATATTTATTTTTACAGTCCATACACAAACGTTGAAATTTATTGATGTTGTTAAGATTATATAATATTAAAACATTTTGTTGTATAAAATATTATATTTGGCGCTCTTAATCGTAAACTCATCGCCCTGATGATGGAGGCAGTATGACCTCTGAAACGTTGGTAAACATCGACCAGACTACACAGCGCAACAACCCAGAAGACAGAAATCTTCATATTCATCGCCCTGATGATGGAGGCAGTATGACCTCTGAAACGTTGGTTAACATCGACCAGACTACACAGCGCAATAACCCAGAAGACGGATATCTTCAACATCAATAAACTTCAACGTTTGTGTATGGACTGTAAAAATAAATATATTTAATCAAACACAAACATGACGCATTTAAGTTACAAAGTGATATTTTAGTTAAGTAAAATGTTGTCGTACAGTAATTGTTTTAAAATATACGAAATTACCTAATGCCACGTAGGTTTACGCCTGGATGTAATTAATAAATGTGCCCAGATTGTATCCAATCTATTAAAGAGGCCTCTTAACATGACATTTCTTGGCTCTATATTCGTTGTAGGGCCACTTGCAAAGTATTCAGAATCCAGTATCCAGTAATTCCACGCTGAAGTTAATATCTAAGTTCTCAAGACATCGACAAATGGCTGAAATACGGTGGCAAGTCCATTTTAAGATGCATTATATGATTAGAATACAGTTGACCACTGATGACAAGAATTAAGCTTTATAAGTCTATACCGTTATGTATAAAACAAGCGGTTGTTTTTAGTAACTTATATACAGTCTGTTATAAGTATTTAATGTGCTAAATCATGTTTAGGAACTGCACAGAACACGATTTTAAGCATGTGCATTAAGTTTTTGTGAATCAGTAGTGGAGTTGTTCGACTGCGATGCACTTTCACCTGCTTTCTGTGTTTTGGTTAGTGTTATCTAACACGTGCAGACAATATGTTAATAAGTACTCACCGATGTTGGGATATATTTTTATTAAGGACGTGTTGAGGGTGTAATTTTCTAACAGTTGCATAAGGAGTGCACTTCTTTCAGAATACACAATGACCAAAAGGAAGAGCCCTGAACTTCTGGAACAACTTGTCCTCAGGAAGATTTGCAAGATAATAGGCTACTGGGTTATGGAATGGACTCATACACTGCTCTTCGCTGACGGACTTGCACATAGCGACAGATTACCAATGATTCAGTCTGTTCTGGGCCAGTGCGTTCAACTGCGACAAGTGTTAGCATCGCTACCAGTGCCTTTCGGCAGACCACTAAGTGTACAAGCCGTTGAAATTGTTGCCATCATTATGAAGGCGTACAATATCGCAGATCGCTTCCGCCATGGTAGACCTGTGACGACTTGCCGGCGTCGATATGAAGAAGTTTGTCTCTTTATAATTAATACAATGTGGCTTCCTTGCGTAGTAGAGTGTAATGTCAATAACGTCGCATGTACATTCGTTCAGGAATTACTGTCGAAATTGCTTAAATATTATCCAAATATCACTCATTTGGTTCTTCCACATGAAAAGAATATTGAAATGTCTCGGTATGTTTTGAGTAATCTTCGCAGGCTGACAGAGTTGCTAGATTTAAAATTTCAGTTCGTATGCACGACAGAAATTGTGATCGAGTTGGGAAAACATTGCAAATTGCTCAGATCACTCGACATCGCTGAATCCAAATCAGTTACCGATGACTGTGTCGAGTATTTAATGAATCTGCAGAGTTTAGAGGTACTCAGGATTAATGGAACGAGCATTTCGGAGGCATGTTATGCTCTGATCCTTTCAAGTTTGCCACGAGTCCAGAATATAACTTGGTGGGATTCTGTTGAACGCATATTACAAAACGTTACAAAAGAATGTCTGCCTTCAGTAAATGACTTTCTTGGTACAGTTTCAGACTCATCCTTCTTGGCAAAAATGTGTCCACGTATCAAGCGCTTATCAATCAGGTTACTGAATGGCAATTCTTTGGAACTAAGTCGCCTAACTGATGTAAAGTTTTTGGGTTTCGTAAAATGCGATTATAATATTAACATATTGAGCATTGTGGTTGAAAATATTGGTTTTAGACTTACATATTTAGAAATGTTCTGGGTCGAAAATATTATTTTTAGTCAAATATTTACGTGCTGCACTGTTTTAAAGAAACTTGTGCTCAGATTTTCTGAAGTTATACTGCACGATAATGAAATATTTTCTCCGGAATTGCCACATTTTAAAAGCGTGGCAGAAATAATACTTCTGAGCAACACAGGTTTGAATAATTTTCGTAAACACCTGCACCATTATGTTAATTTGAAAATTTTACGTACCTCGTGGTTTGAAGCACTGGAAGATGATACTGTGTCTGAAATTCTAAATGCCGGCGGCTTTAAAAAACTCTCATGTATTCTTCTCGGTTTTTGTGGACCCCTCACTTTGCAGACGGCTAATTTACTGATAACGAGGTGCGACGATTTGAGTGTTATCGGGAATCTCAACACTTGGTCTGGTGTCAGTGAAGAAGATAAGAGTGCACTGTTTGATTTTGTGAATAGAAATAACCTGGAACTAACTGTAATATTGGATTAATATGTCAATTACTTTAACAATTTTATACAGAAAATCAATTTCACGGTGAGGAATACTATTTTTTATATTCCCGGATAAATATTTTAATAATTTATGATCGGTATAATATCACGGGGTACGTCAGACAGTATTTGTACGTGAAAAATGAAGTTACTGTTTTGTATATGACAATGATAAACAAATGAAATAAACTGCCACGTTTTAATAAGTTTCCTGGTTTAGTATTTTCTTGCTTAGTGGTGGATTGTTGTAAACACTGCAAATAATACTAATTGGAAAGGATTCAAAGGAAATTTATAGCTCTATGTTACGCTAGATTCTTTAATGGCGCTTGTGTCTATAATTATGATGATATATTAGTTAGATTAAATTTCTTATCGTTATATTTAAGGAGGAGGCTTTTGGACGCTCTTTTCCTCGTGAATGGTTTTAAAGGCAAAATTATTTGCTCATCTGTTTTTGATACAGCTAGTCTCTGCATACCTACTAGGTCTATCAGAGACTACTCTACCTTTACTGTACAACGTAATTTCAAGGCCAGTCCCTCTGCCAGATGTGTTTCTGCTGCCAATGCAGTCTGCAGGAACATCGACATCTTTAACAAAGATTGCATTTTGCTTACTGAGGTCAGTCAGCTTTTTAAACAATAATTATTGTTTACTTAGTATCACATTTTATTATGTATGTTTTTTGTCCAATATTAAACTGTTTTTAGTATAATTATTATTTTACTTATCTATAACATTTAGTTTTTTACTTATGAGTTATTTTGCAATAAATCAACATTGTACATTTATGTTTTCAGTTCTTTGTTTATTTGCTTTTGTATTGTAATGCTTGTATTGTTGTTAGTGCTAGGCTGTTATTGGCCTTTTTGGCTGTTGTCAAGCACTTTAATAAATGAATTGAACTGAATTGAATTGAATAACACAAAGTATCATCTTCATAACGAATACTATGCAATACATAATTTGCTATTGGTAAATATTATTTCATAAAGAATAAGGTAAAAGTTATATATCATCTGCTCCTTCTATGCAGCTAAGAAATTTTAAGTTCACATCTAGGTGTTAAAATAGAGCACATGATAGGGACATTAGTCAGAAAACACAGAAGGAAGAGATCAATAATTATATACAACTTTTCATTGAAAAATGGAGCGTAATAAAATGTCACAGTATTATTTAGGCGATAACTTATTAATTCAGTGCATACAATAAAACAAAATTCTGTAATAAGTTGAAACAGTAGTCCACTGAAATGGCTAACTTCTGCAAATTGACTTATGTTTCCCGACGTTATATATGTATACAGCCACTATTTTTTAGCATTATGATGACGGCAGCAATCACCTCTGAAACGTCAATAAACTTCTAACAAAATACACGGCAGAATAACCAAAACACAGTAAACTTCATGTATTAAGTTCCTCGATATGCTAATCTGCTACTGAAAATGAAACATGTTGAACATTGTATATTTTCTGACGGCATTCCCCACAAAATCACGGCAGAGTCATAACAAACGACAGGTGAAGTGTATAAATTTTGGGAATGTTTGGCATGACTATGAAGATAACAAGAAACGTCTTTTCTACAACTTCCTTTATTAAATAACAATAAGTTGCAATGTCTTCAAACAAATTGCTAAAATGTTTTCTGATAATTCGAGATCTAACGTTTGCAAATGTGCCTTTGTAGTGTCGATTTATCAAGACCTATTTCGAAGGAAATTTATCTAGTTTGAAGCTGTATATAAGAAGGATCTTAATTTTCAAAATTACCCTCTACTGCTACAAAATTTAAGTTTAACATGCCTTTATCAGTCCTAACAGGAACCATTTAACTTTAAAATATAATATTTTAGACTAGTTGTCTTACTATAACAATTCAGCAGAAGCTGTCGTAAGTCAAACCTATTGTCCACAGGCTTCGAACTAACGTATCGTTACTATTGGTGCAGTGGTTAGATTTCCCGCTTCTAATTTTGAGATTTAGTGTTCCTGTCCGAGGTTATCAGCAAGTCTTAGGAACTTCCGGGTTGACGTACAAGGACACGATGCACTTGAAAGATAACAGAATGTAAGTGAGCAGATTATTTCACGTTTATGTGGCTAAATGATTGTATCTTTAATATCAATCTGCTATCACTGCGAAACAAGATTACAGATATCATACTAGTACACGATACGTAAATGTGTGTAATATAGTAATTTGAGATATAGGATAATATTTGCTGTAATAAGATCTGTGAGAATTTTTTTTTTATTTTTTTTGGTAATTTAGTGACACAAACTTTCTTTCGAGGTAAATATATTTCTCGTACAGTGGCAATGCAAATGGCTGTAGTCACCCCGTCACCAGCCATTCCCAGTGTCAGTCGATTACTTGTCGGATTGGAAGTTGCAGCTCTCTGCCCTGGTAAGTCGTCTCGTTCATACAGTGTAAAGAATTTGTAAGTCTGTTAAAATTAATCACGAGAGCACAAAGTCTTTCATTTTAAATGAGATCTAGTTTAATTGTAAATAATATTTCGATACCATTCAGAACAGCTAAAAAAATTTAAGTTTAATATGCCTCTATCAGTCCTAACATGAACCATTTAACTTTAAAATATAATATTTTAGACTAGTTGTCTTACTATAACAATTCAGCAGAAGCTGTCGTAAGTCAAACCTATTGTCCACAGGCTTCGAACTAACGTATCGTTACTATTGGTGCAGTGGTTAGATTTCCCGCTTCTAATTTTGAGATTTAGTGTTCCTGTCCGAGGTTATCAGCAAGTCTTAGGAACTTCCGGGTTGACGTACAAGGACACGATGCACTTGAAAGATAACAGAATGTAAGTGAGCAGATTATTTCACGTTTATGTGGCTAAATGATTGTATCTTTAATATCAATCTGCTATCACTGCGAAACAAGATTACAGATATCATACTAGTACACGATACGTAAATGTGTGTAATATAGTAATTTGAGATATAGGATAACATTTGCTATAATAAAATCTGTGAGAATTTTTTTTTTTATTTTTTTGGTAAATTAGTGACACAAACTTTCTTTCGAGGTAAATATATTTCTCGTACAGTGGCAATGCAAATGGCTGTAGTCACCCCGTCACCAGCCATTCCCAGTGTCAGTCGATTACTTGTCGGATAGGAAGTTGCAGCTCTCTGCCCTGGTAAGTCGTCTCGTTCATACAGTGTAAAGGATTTGTAAGTCTGTTAAAATTAATCACGAGAGCACAAAGTGTTTCATTTTAAATGAGATCTAGTTTAATTGTAAATAATATTTCGATACCATTTAGAATCATATAACTCTAAATAACTAAAAAAAATCATGAAGTTTTATAAATTATTCCGAAATGAACACGATTTCTTAATCATCAGGATGAATAAATGAGATAGAAGAATAGCTGTAATACACCATCTTGGGCTTTAAATAGACGTTGCTTTGGAAGACATTTGCCCTCGTAATTATTAGTTAACGTACAAACTGTGCAGATTCTCCATTACCTGTGTTGCCACTGTATAGAGATGGTATTGAACAGTGCTCAAACATTGGGTCGACAAGATGTTATGTTTATAGCGATAACATGAATAAAAATAAACATTATATTTACCATGCGTATTGGAATTAAGTTAGTCTTTGAGAGAAGTGTGTTAAATATACAATCTGTTTTCGACCAAAGTTTGTGGAAAATAATCTGCCCATTCTAAGAAAATGTTTAAAAATGTTGGCTTAAAGTAAAATAGGTCTTTAGTGCGATTAAATGTTTTCTCGCTATAATCTGTTAAGAAATGCACAAAGCACTGAACACTGCAATCAGTCCCTCTGTACGACAGAAACGACCTTCATTCTCAGTGCACGGTTTAAGAGGTAACAGGAAGAGAAATTAACATTATATCTTTCATGTGTGTTGAATGCAGGCGCACTGTATAACCCCTGTTTAATAACGAGTTAATAGGGAAAAGGTCTTGGAAGTAATATGGCTATTCTTCATAAAAGGAAAGAAAGTTTGAACTATAAGAGTTCTGTTAATGTAAAACAAGTCTGGTAATAAATTCAAACGTTTTATAATAAATTATTAGGAAATATATTTACATGAATTGAATTATGCTATGCCGAGAGTTTTTAAATCACTGAATTGTTTTTGTTGGTCAATAAAAAGGTAGATATTTTAACGAACGGTATATTCTTTTGTCTTGACATGTTGTATTAATTTGTCTTCTATATCGTTAAATAGAAGTTAATAATGAACTGAGTAGAACTATTCATTCATATAAAAATATCTTGATCAATATATAATAAAAATATGAAGAACTAGCTAGGTATATGATTTAAATTATGACACATTTAATATTTTTTCTATAAAAAGGGTGTTTCTTATAAGCATGTCATATACATGTCAAGTGTCTCGCGATTTTGAGAACTTCGACAAATTTTACATGTAGCGAATAGTGACTAAATCACTGGCAAAGTTACATGAGAATTCAATATGAGATAAAGTAGACTGCACGTGACAGGTTTTAATTTCCTAAAGGTTTAAAACGTTGCTTCGGCAATAAATGGATATTTGTGCATAAAATAGTATACTACATCTATTTAATATTATTATGAGAATGAACATTGTAGTAACTCGGCTGTTCCATCTACATTGAGGGCGTTGGTTAGTGCAGACAATTCGTTACTTTGTATTATAAATATGTTACATTTTAATGGCTCACATGTGCATGACAACTTGTGAACAGTTTTATGAGGAGTTTAATTCTTTCAGAAATCGCAATGAACAACAAGAAGAGTCCTAAATGTCTGATAAGACTTACTCAACGGAAGATCTGCAGACTGATAGTATGTCGGATTTTAATATGGACTAAGAAACTTCGCAAGGCTGAAAGGCGTGAAACCGGAGATAGACTACGAGTCATTCACGCTGTACTGAGTCAGTGCCTTCAACTGCGAGAAGTGCTTACTAAACTGCAGGAGTCAGACGGCAGGTTGCTAAGTGACTATTTCGTTAGAGTTATTGCCCGCGTTATTGAAGACAAGGATATCCCAGGTCACTCCCGAGAAGGTACCATGCCATGCAGATATCAGTACGAAGAAGTCTGTATGTATATGCTCAGAAATGTGTTTCTGCCTTGCTTAGAAGAGTGTAACATCAAGAAGTTTGGGTCCGAATTCGTACATGGATTAATGTCGCAATCGCTTCATACAATTACACATATCACTCGTTTGATTCTTCCAGATAACACAAGTAATCCAGTCTCACAGATAATTTATGACGAGCTCCCCAAATTGACAATGCTGCAAGAAATTATATGGAAGTTTACTTGCACAACACGTATAATAGCGGTGTTGGCGAGAAATTGCAGATTGCTCAGGAAACTTGACGTCGCCTGTTCTATAAATGTTACTAATAATTGTGTAGAGGATTTACTGAATATGGAGAGTTTGGAGATACTCAATGTGGGAGGAACTGGTATTTCCGAGAAAAGTTATGCTCTGCTCCTTTCAAGATTGCCACGAATTCAGAGTTTTTTTTGGAAAGGTCGAGCGGATGATGTCTTTAGATATATTACTAGGGCATCTCTTCCTTTAATAAATGAGTTCAGTGGTGTAGTTACAGATGCATCCTTATTGGTAAGAATGTGTCCACATGTCAAAACCTTGGCAGTTTATTTACAAAGTCGTAATTGTTCGGAGCTGGTAAATTTGTCTGACTTAGTGGTTTTGGAATTATCTCCATGCAATTATAACACTACTAACATGGGCACCGTAATTGAAAACATGGGCATTAGACTTACAAGATTAATTATGATTCAAGTCGCGAATGTTGATATTGTTCAAATAATTACTTCTTGTTCCGTGTTGAAAATTCTCGACCTCAGATATTGTCGAGTTATAACGCCGGAAAATTTCAGTTTATCTCCGGAATTGCCACATTTTACAAGCGTGAATGAAATTATTCTTTCAAAAAACCAAGATTTCAGAGATTTCCACAAGTACCTGGTACATTACGTTAATTTGGAAGTGTTCCATGCTCACCATGTTGCAGAAGTGGATCATGCAATTATTTCTGCAATTTTAAATGCCGGTGGCTTTAGAAAACTCACTAAAATTGTTCTCGCTTTTTGTGGGCATCTTAAATTAGACACGGCCATGCTGTTGATACAGAAGTGTGACTATTTGACTTTTTTGGGGAATATGAATACTTGGCGCGATTTCAGTGAAGACGATAAGCAGACGTTGCTTGATTGTATTAAAGTTAATAACCTCGCAATGTTTGCATATGTGGAAGCTATGAATTAAATGTAAGACATTGACATGGAAAAGTTGTTTTTACATTGAAATTTACCCTGTTTTACTTTTGCTACATATTTTATTGTTTTATAACCAGTAAGATAACATGAGAGTAACTTAAAAATTGTTGTATTTAAGAATTAAGTGACCATTTTGTATTTGATGTAATTATGTGCAAATAATTTTTTTAATAAATTATAGCGCCATGTAGTCTGGTAGAAGTTCATGAACGTTTCAGAGGTCCTTGCTGCCTCCATCATCAGGGTGACATGCTACACGGCGCCACAGCTCAGAAGGTAGCCATGTTCGTATTCACCGCCGTGAAAACCTACTCAGTTATGTTCCATTTCCATTTTCTTTGTATTTGTTTTACATTGTTATGCTGAATCTATAATGTCAGGGTGATTAAGTTGAGAAGAATGAGATGGGCTGGGCATGTAGCATGTACAAGAATTGTGCACCGGGTATTGATCGGGAAACCTGAAGGGAAGAGACCGCTGGGGAGACCTAGACGTAGATGGGAGGATAATCTCAGGCGGGATCTATGGGAGATAGGAGTTGAAGGAGACTGGATTTTGTTGGCCCAGGACAGGGTCCGATGGAGGGCTTTGGTTAATTCGGTGATGAACCTTAGAGTTCCCTAAGCCATCTAGTTAGTTAGTTAGTTAGTCCGATTTAATATTATAATAGTTCCTAGGGAAATACGGTTTGAGGGTGGGCCTCATTCAACTGGCTCAGGATAGTAGCCTTCTGAAGACGGTTATATCTGGATTGTTTGGGTTTCTCGACGTTGTCCATCGTCTGTTGTAAAAATTACAATGTTTCGAGAACTCGATATGTCCTTGTCTTCAGGTGTAGTGAAGACGCCCCTACTCTGTGGAGTCCATTAGAATGAGTCAATCCCAGTCGCTGACCAGCTGAGCGATTATCAGGTTCTCAAGGACTCTGCTGTATGAAATTAGTCGCTAACAGATTTGTTTTCGCAATTGACGCTAAATTACAAAAAATAACCGAAGCGCTGCGGTCGAATGATATCACTCCTTTGTATTTGTGAGGTTCCTGGTTCGAAACTCGACTTGAAGAACGACTGGCTCAACTGAAATGTCTTCAGTCTGTGGAGACACATACTGGCGGGCTGTAAGTATCTTAGAAGTGCCTACTAGCATTTTTCTGCTGTCCTATCACTAGACGCTGATCGTTGCATAGCTCAGTAATCAATTTACAAAATTAGTTCATTTTCGGCGTGGTTTCAGTCTTAATGTTCGATTTTGATTAAAACTAAAATTTTGAAGATAAATCTTGGAGCTTATGTAATAGGACTTGACGTGTTAAGACGCTGTTACTCCAAGAATGAAATTGCATGAGAAAGTTTGTCTGGCTGTTCTTCTGTGATTTATTAGAGAATCTTATTCATATAAAAATTGAATTGCAAGTAGATGTGTCTCTGTGCCTTGCGTGTCTTTTTTCGACGGTTTTAAGAACAAAACAAGATCTCCTCTCCGAATTGTTTTCTTTAGTCAAAAGAAATACCATCGTGTTGCTTGTGATATAGAACACAAAATTCTCTTGTTTCATAGAAAATCTATGAAGTTGCTTCTATGAATTTTGTGTTCAGTCACTGACATTCCGAAAAGGGCACATATCACCCGAAAACAAATATTTTGTTACTCTTATCTCCTTAATCATTTTGTCTGGCCACAAGTTTTCTAGAGTTCAGCAACTCGGGATAATACTTATTGACTGAATTATCTCTCATAAGGATTTATTTGTTATGGTTTGAATTCGTAACACTGTTTAATGGCCGTCCGTTGTTCCAAATGCACTAATTTCATCGATTATATTTTACTGAATTTTGATTAAAATTTATAGGTGTGTGAGGCCATAATTTATTCAGCAAAGTACAGTAATTAGCGTAGGTGAGTTTAGAAGGTGGCTGTGATCTGCATTGGAATGCCAGACGTTCTTAGCCATAGATTATAAGCGATCCTCACGTATCTTGAGCCAACAAACCCAGAGATGTAATGTATTAGAAACCTTTAATGTGGGAGGTCATTTGTTCTCTTAACCTCCTCCGACCGTACTCTCTCACTTGATCATTTATAATTCCCAAAATCTTTTACATTTCGGCAAAAGTTATGTTTGTTTCCTGGAGTAAGTTATGGATAGTGCAGCTATTAAGAGATAACCTATGGTGGTGATGTCATCGGCAGGAACCGGTCCAATAAATCAAACCCTCCGCCTTTACCCTCTTACCACCCCCCCCTCTGTCCCCTTCTGGTACCACCCCACCCACTCAGCGAACTCCTTCCCCGCTCCCTAATGGCTTAATTGAATTTCGATTATCCAAATATGGCGCTGAGTCTGGAGCAAAAGGAGATGAAACTACTGTTCAGATCGGAAAACAATGACGACTGAACGCAAGTTGTTCCGATGCAGAGTGGAAGTACACTTTGCTTTTATTCAATAAGGAAGGAGGAAGATCTTGTTGTATGTTTTGTAGTACGCATTGATTATGCCTGATTTTGAATCGTGTTCTTGGGGGCTTGATGTCGTTAGATAAATGCGTAGACTAACTCACTCGACAGTTGTGTTTGCAAGTGCACCTCAGTTCTGTGTGTTTCCGACCGAACCGCCTGTTGAATAAAGTTTAGTTCTGACAGAATGTAACACATTCCACTCACACGGGATATTTGATGCGTGTAGGACTCTTGATAGTTGGTAGGTTTAAGATTCTTTGGTTCACACTGGTTATTTGTTTAAGTCAGCAAAATAAAATTAAACAATGACTTAATATCGAACCTCAGTGCCACATAATTTTTATAGTAGCTTTTCCAGCAAGTTAAAATTAGTGACTCATTACCTGAACCCGGTTAGTAAAATATCATCCACGCCAGTTGTAATAATTACAGCGCCATGAAGACAAGTTCGCGTTAAAATTTGAGACTTTGGAATCTGCGTTCCTTTCCCTCGGTTCAATGTAGGTGTAGTTGTGGATGAATTTGCTTTGATTTCTGGAGGACGTAAGATTGTGAAATTACCCCATAATACATTAACTTATTCGGAAGATCCCAATTTATCTGAGTTGTATTTAACAACAGTACAATGGGTACCGAGGTCCTTTCCCGGGGGTAAAGCCGGCCACGGAGTGATGCTGACCACTCACCCCATCTAGTGCCGAGGTCAAGAATGAGTAGGAGCTATACCTCAACTCCCCCCAAGTGCCTACATGGCGTATAGTGGTCCAGCTTTACTTTACATTTTATTAACCAGTAATCGCAGTGTTGGAGATGGCCATTGTAATAAGTCCTTGACTTCGTGAACTGCGCATCAGATGTTTGTGACAGATTGCGTTGTAAAGGTGAAGGCAAGATGGTCACCGTACGACGGCTTGAAGGCGTGTGGAATGGAGCCAAGCATCCGCGCGTAGATGTAGGCGAGGTCATCTTCACGTTCCATCTACTTTACCAGGGGGAAATGAGCCCTTGGCCCACACTGAGTTGGAGGCTGGGTGTCTCACAGGGCGGTCTGGACGAAGGGTGGCGAAGAGGAAGGCCTTTGCTCCTGGTTGGTCGTCCACCTAATTAGAAGCCACTTTACTGAAAGGAAATTATAAACGAAAAATTTCACCTTGTTCTTTTCAAAGCACCACGCAGTGCAGACGTATGAAGGTGTGGAGGTATGACGCCACGCATTCTTAACCTCGGAGGTGAGAGGTTAGCTTCACCCTTCAGCCTCTTTACACGTATCTACTCGATAGGAGGCTGAGGCTAGGTGGACCCCAGAATGGAGATAATTATTGGAACCGAAGTGATTTTGGGGTCACAACATTGACCTTGGATATGTTACCGTTATTATTTCTTTATAGTAAGATCCAGTAGTTTTTCTTGCACCGTGTAATCATCGTCGCAACCAGCTGACGTCACCGCCCGCGTCGTGGCGAGTTTCAGTGTACTACCCTTTTACAGTGTAGTTATTGCTATAGCTGGCTTTGTAATGTGTCTTACGTACCAGAGGACTTTTGTTTTACCATGTTCCACACACAGCATTAATTCGGTGCGTATGTCAGGCATGAAATCAAAGCTTAACCAATGCACATGACTTTAAATCCATGTTTTTTAAGCTTTTCTGGCTCTTGGAAACAACAGCAAAGAATGATAATTGATTTCTGTTTTGTTGGCTGTCATTTTTTTTAGTTGACTTTGACTTGGGTGGTTCGGGCGAGGGTTCGGAGGGCTGGTTACGAAATGACTTCAGATGAGTTGGGTTTCTATCCGCCCCGCAACAGATGGCATTGCTGGCTAGAAGTAGCTCATATTTTAGTATTCTGCCATCGCCTGCCATCAGTCACAGTGTGTCTGTATCGCATTTGGCATCACTCTTCCGCATTCAGACTTGTTGTAAGCAAGTACGATATAAGTCTTGCCAGTTTTCTCGGACAATAACGACGGGCTTGTCCTCCCTGCACTGTGGCAGGTTTGCAGATCGAATAGTCTGTTCTTATCTTGACCGAGAATGTACAACATTCCTTATGCCTCCATGCTTGTACGCGCATGTGTGCGTATGTTCCATCCTAACAAATTCCTAGCCAGCGACGAATTCTTATGAAACTTACGTAAATCATGCAATTTGAGGCTTATGTATTGAATTCCCTGTCATCTATAAAACAACATACCGGCCGTGGGAACTCTTAGATGAGAACGACACTAATTCATTCACTCACTCTATTTAACAGACTCCATAAGACACTGAAAATTGTTCCGCTAGGCGTTATATCACTTGTTTATGGGGTCCTAAGGTTCATTAACATGTTTGCAAGAATTCGCCAAGGGTCCTGTACTGAACCACATGAATCCAGTGGACACCCGTAGCTTACATCTGTTTCTGTGAGATCATATTTCAACATTTTCCTCCCATCTACGTTTGCGTCTTGAAAGTTCCCATTAGTGACATTTCTAAGGCAAGTACATTGTGTTTAATGTGGTAATAGTTCTTGAGTATAGCCACAAATTTTATGTGAAGAATTTCTGAATATTAAACATAATAAACATGGCGATGGTTTGAGGCATGGACAGCTGTTATGTGCTCAGTGGAAGCTATGCATTGAAAGATTGCTGTCTTCTGGGTTGTTCCGCCGTGTAGTCTGGTAGAAGTTTACTGACGTTTCAGAGGTCATGCTCTTCCGTCATCAGGGCGCAACAACCCACAGTCTGCAGAAACCCGGTGTTGGGCACTGTCTTCTGTCTAGAGAACTCAGTTAATAAATGCATGAATTTTGCCTACACATCGTATTTGTTGCTTTCATATGGTTCTCACCATAAACGTTTACACTTTCCTGGAATAACATGTGAGTTTATTCTTGTAGTGGAGATGTTGCTTTCTTCTAGGTAAGATCTGAATTTTTAAAT